ACAGATAAACATGAACATTTAACTACCTCAAATAGGCAGCGATTCTAACCATTTCTGTAGCCATAATTCACCAAGCAAAGAGTCAAAACATTATTAAAAGAAAATACTTCCTCGACTTTTAGACCTTATGAGTAAAGGCCTGGTAGAAGAAACAAAGCTGGCATTGTGCTCTGAAGGTTTGCTGGGCTGCAAGAGCCAGAATCTGCTGAGGAAAGGAGGCCCACAAGACCCTCCCCTGCAAGTGCCCTGTCTTTTCCTATGCACAGAAATGACAGCAATCTCTAAAGTAAATATTTCTAAGGCTTTATAGATTAAAACCAACAGTATGAATTAAAGTCAGGTTCCTCCCTAAGTTACTTTTCTTCACATTAATAATCGCAAAATGTAATCAAATGTGTGATTTAAAAGAACGGAAGACAGCTGGGACAGCCTGGGAAACCATAGAAGAATATGTATCATGTTAAGTAGGCAGTGAATAGTTAGAAAACAAGACCACTATTTTCTCTAGTAATTCCACTCTTAAAAAAAAATTGTTGGGGCTGATGCTTGTGCAAAACTCAATTAAATCAATGAGTCGCAATCTAAGCCTGCACAGCTGCATAGCCTTCCTGTGGTTTCAAATATTTCTATAATCTTGGGTGGAGTGCGGGATGCCATGTGCTCCTATAACTTTGGGAACAGCTGAACATAAAAAAAAAAAAGTACACTTCCCAAAGAGAGAGAAACATATCTGCACTCACATGATTAACTAATCTTATATTCTTGACCACACAGCAATCAAAATACAAACTAGAAACCAAAAATATTGGATTTTTGTTGTGGTTGGAGGGTGTTTTTAATGTTTCCTGGGTAGGAATAAAAAAATGCTCTGCACTCATAGTAAAGAAAGTTAAAGTCTACTTTTGGAGTATATTTTGGCTTTCCCTTTGTGTAAATGAGAGAGATTTAAAATCAAGTAAACTAAATCTAGATCAGTTCTAAAAAGTCCAAAAGGCCAATATTGGTCAACATGGGTGAAAAAAGATGGAATATGTTAAGGACAGGGGAATGCGAAGTGGTCTTCAATCAGTTCAGATCCAAGGAATTATTCACAAATGGCCTTAGTAAATAGTAATACCAAAATACCCTTGCTATCCTTGTAGCTTCTCTAGTATTTCTTTAAAATTCCTCCTAATCATTTTCATGAAATTCTCACACTTAATATCAGTGTATATTACAAAATAAGATCAACCAAAGCAAATGGCTCTTTTCCTAATACCTCTTACACAGATGTAGTGTATTGGGTCACTATTACTATGGAAGACAAGTTTACATTCTTGATAACCACAACAAACTTGAGCTGTGAAGAATCTCTCTCTGAACTTGGAATCAGCTGTCTATTTTCTAATGGCTTGATACTACTCCCATTGAAGTCAATGTCAAAACACCCGTTGTCTAAATGCCTATATTCATCCCTATTAAACAATTTTTTTTAGTGACTCAAACTTTCTTGGAGGTCTCATGCCAAGGCCTGCCTGAGAGTGTGTTACACTCCAGTCTGCTGTAGAAGGATTGGATTAGCCCATGGTCTGTATCTGTGTGGAACTCAGTTGCTCTTTTTGCACATGCTTGATATTAGCCTTGTCACTGTCAGACATTCATCTGCTCTTAGACATTTCTCAATAAAGTTAACTCTTTACTCTAAAATAGCCTACAGGTGAAGAAATAAGCATTTCCTCCCATACAATAGTAAGTAAATGAGCCATTTTCATTGAATGACTTCTCTGTGAGGCACCCAATGCTTTCTGCTGACTTCACTCTCATACAGCTAAGAGAAAGTCAGACCTTTTGTGAGAACAACCATCTAGTGGCCATCAGCCAAGTCAAAGCAGAGAGGACTTTATATCTTTGTTTTGAAAAGTATCCAGTCCCCTGGTGATTTCTGCAGTTTTCATCAACCTCCAACTTTCCTTTACCCCCAAGACACACAAGCCAAAATGGGTAATGAATTTGATGCCAAACTCATTGCCTTAAAGGCAGTTTCCATTGAGCAGCTCTTCTGGCATCAAAATGTTTTATTTTACTTCAATATCTATTCCTGTATCTTCCTCAATTACAACTTTCTTTTCTAAAGCGATTCCCTCCTAAATGCTAGTAAAAGATTTTGTTTTTCTGGAGAGCTCAATTTTTAAATTTCTTGAGCAAAACTGCCTCCTTCATTGATGGCCTCTCTCACCCACTTATGTCTACCTTTAACACTCAATCGAATAGCAGAAGCTACAAGAAAGAGGTGAGTTGTGAAGTCATGGTGAGGAATAATCAACTGCATTAGCCAGTGCAAACCAGAGTTCTATAATCCAAACCAAACCCATTTCAATTTGTCTTCCATGCGTTCCTGTAATGGGGTATATAGACCCCACACAGTAGCAGCCACAAAAGAGATAATATACGGCTAATAGATGGTGCAATTACCTCTCCAATTGTGACTCAATGATTAGTTGGCAACAGCTGGGATAAAAGGCTATAGCTTAGACAGAGAAAGGTGGCTGCCAGAGTGACTGGGAGTTGCCTCTAAAACTTCCCAGCAATGGACTGGGAGAAACCTGTCCAAGGAGTCAGGCTTCCAAAGGGAGAGCCATTGAGTACAGCTCAATGAACGACACCTGCAAGCAGGCAAGAGGTAGGAAGCAGCCCAGGAAAGCAGCCAACAATCTTAAGATGCAGTTCTGAGCTGTTTAAGCACAGGGTTCCTGAGGTGGAACCTGTAGGAGAGGGTGGGCCTGGGTTCCTCGCCCACTCCCTCAGGAGGGGAGAGGCAAGCCCTTGAGTGCAAAGGAGCAAGCAAGGACTACTGAGTTCAGGTTGGAGCTGGAGACCTAATCTAAGGTCATTAGAGATTTGGTTCTGTTTAAATGTCTTTGGTTACCCCAGAATAGGCAAGACAATGAGTGACCCGACCCAACCCAACAAGCAGGCTGAGTCTCAAGGGCTCAATTGCCTTGGTTTTGGAGAGTTGCCCCAGGCAGCAAATACCAGACCCAGAAGCCATGCTCTAGAGACATGCACTGACTAGAGAGTGAGGCCGCAGCAGTCTCCTCTTGTAGTGGTGGCAGCAGCCTTCTGACACAAACTAAGCTAAATAAAACACATCTTCTGCTCCTGGCAGTGCCCAGAGAACAAAACAATGATACACCTCTACCTCGATATAACGCTGTCCTCGGGAGCCAAAAAATCTTATCGCGTTATAGGTGAAACCGCGTTATATCGAACTTGCTTTGATCCACTGGAGTGCGCAGCCCCGCCCCCCCCGGAGCGCTGTTTTACCACGTTATATCCGAATTCGTGTTATATCAGGTCACGTTATATCGGGGTAGAGAGGTGTAGCTTAATTTCTAGGCCAACCTAGTACCAGAAAATTGCTCTCTGCCACTCCTTATTTTAGATACAAGTGGCTCTCTGTCACTCTCTGCAATTCTAGATGCAAGTCTAGGTAATGGTACCATATGTCTGTGAGATACTATTACTGAATGGTCATATCCTACAGCTAATGCTGTATTACAATATAATTTGGCATAATTGATATTTTCTTAGTTTAAATAGTTTTTTTTTCATTCCCTTCCCTTTTAACATTCTGGAGTTAAATGAGTAGGTTTACTATCTTTTTTTACAGTAAGGTGCAGTCAGAACATAGGGCTATTCAATTGGGATTATGTATTACAGAAGAATGGACTATTATGATGGGTTTAGTTCACAGTAACTCAAGCTAGTGTGCATTGAAAATGCCTGTGTACACACATGACACAAACCCTTAAAGTGCACTAACTCCCTCTTTGCTGTGAATTCTGTACTCCACTTTCAAAATGGAGTACATTTACGGTGAATTGAGTTAGTGAGGACTATTGTTAATGTGCACGCAATAGTTCTGTACGTTATGCTGGCTGTTCTCCAACTGCTGTCCCACTGTTGTGTGGGCATCCATGACCAACCTGTCTGTTTAACTCTGTGACTTCCACTATTCTGGGGTCCAGTTGACCAGATAACCCCTTCCCCACTTAAAAACTGGCATAAGGCCAGGCTCAAGTATGTCAGCATTACACCATGCCTCTTGCAGCCACTTGGAGCCATGGTGACGTTCTTGATCTCCTCACTATCTGGGGAGACAGCAATGATCAGCAAACTCTTGTGACCAATCATCACAATAAGAAACCTCTTGAGAACATTGCTAAGCACATAGCTGAGAAGGATCATGGATGGGAAGCTGATCAGTGCCATATAAAGAGCTTAGGAACATATGCAAAAAAACCAGGGATGCCAGAAACAAATTAGGTGGTGCCTATGTGACCTGTCCATTTTACGAGGAGCTGGACAGAATTTTTTTGCCCGTGTGCACCACAGAACCCAATGGCCTTGTGAACAGTGGCACCCCTCCCTCTGCAGAGGAGACTGAGGCCTCTGAGGATGACCACAATTCATTAGAGGAAAATGATTTCTGTCCGTACAGCCAGGATCACTTCTGAATTCAAGAACCTGAGAGTGGCTGTGCAGGAAGCCAGCCCAGTCCCAGCCTGGGACACAGGAGGAAGACCCTCTTAAGGGGTCATCAGCATGTAAGTATCTATCTTTACAATTGATATTTATTATACTGTACAGGTATGCTAACTTCTGTACCGGGCACCCAATGGCTGCTGCCATTTTGGGCAGATGTGAGCTTGCATCCTTTCTGAGCCACCAGACCCCATCCCCCTCACTCAGCCAGTTCTTGTTTGTCCCCCTTTATTCTATCCTCTGAAACACATTTTCAAAATAGCAGCAGGGCTGGGTAATCTGCTTCTATGTCATAGACTATCAGGGTTTGAAGGGACCTCAGGACGTCATCTAGTCCAACCCCCTGCTCAAAGCAGGACTAATCCCCAATGGCCCCCTCAAGGATTGAACTCACAACCCTGGGTTTAGCACGCCAATGCTCAAACCACTGAGCTATCCTCCCTCCCCCCAAACACAGCAGGAAAGAATCTGTTCTCCATCTGCCCAGGGACTTGAACCCTGGGCCTTCAGATTAAAAGTCTGATGCTCTACCAACTGAGCTAGCCAGGCTCACATGCTGAAGTCCTGACCATCAACTGTTTACAAACCCATGCCATGGAGGGCACATACCCATCTACTAATTTCCTTTCCCTTCCTGCATATCTCCTGCCTGGCAAACATCACCACTCTAACCCCATTCACATTGCTCATATCGTGTGTGTTTGTAGGATTGGAGCCTAAGGTACTACTCAAGGTGACTAATGGTATCAGAGACTGTTGAAAGAACAGACTACTTCTGTTCTTGCTAGGCTTTGGTGAAACTCCTAGCTTTCACTTCAGGGAGCTATGGTGGCAAACTAACACTCTTCTGCTTAATTTTGTGAATTATGACCAACCTGTAAACATATAAAGTGCTGCCATGTTTTGCAAATTTGCTATCAGTTGATGCTGAAATTTCATACGCTTGCAAATTGTACAAATGTAACTTGCATTTTACAAAATGTTACTTACCCACAGCACTTGAGGAATAAACCAAGGCCTGGTCTACACTAACCCCCCAAGTCGAAGTAAGGTACGCAACTTCAGCTACGTGAATAACGTAGCTGAAGTCGACATACCTTACTTCGAACTTACCGCGGTTCAGACGCAGTCCACACGCGGCAGGCAGGCTCCCCCGTCGACTCCGCGGTACTCCTCTCGTTGAGCTGGAGTACTGCAGTCAACGGCGAGCACTTCCTGGTTCGATTTATCGCGTCCAGACCAGACGCGATAAATCGAACCAGGAAGTTCGATTTCCAGCCGCCGAACTAGCGGCTAAGTATAGACCAGCCTATATTCTCAAGTCTATATTGCATTACCAAGAGACAAATGTAAGAATGCTTGACAGGTGGAAAGTTGAGCCTATTGTTAATTATGTAAAAACGGACTAGCTTCATTGTTACCTCTTTGTCCTTTCACCAGTTCCTTTTCTGTTTCTTTTTGTCACAAATCTAGATTGCAGACTCTCTGGAGCAGACACTGTCTTTTCTGCTTGCAGAGGCGATGTGTGTGGGGGCATTCAGTGTCATGTGCCTCCCAAGATTTTTTTGATTGTCCCCGCAACCCAGACATGATGGGTGGCCTGCTGAGGTAACTCAGGGGGTGGAGGTAGGGCTCCCTCCCTGAGCCCTGCTGTGCAGGGCTGGCCCGAAAGAGCCCCACTGTGCAGAGCTGGCCTGAGCACCTGGCATCGCCAGCCCGAGTCTCCTGTCATCACCACTCACCCCCGAATGTTCCTGCTTGCCCCTCAAGGGTACATCCCACAGTTTGAAAATGTCTGTGGGGCAGTCACATGCCCCCTCAGAACCTTTAAATTGTGCATGCCCCTCCCATCAACAGTGTCTACTTGTTTTTAAAGTGGCTAGCACAATGGGACCTCTAGACACTACTGCACTGAACAACTATCACCATTGTCCTCCAAAGTGATGGCACCATTTGGTAACACATAGGCTGCAATTTAAATGCTTCTCTTTGGGGATAACCACATGACTATCTCTTCTACTAATCCTGAGAGATCCAGAAGTGGCAGGCAGACTTCAGTGCTCACTGCAAAGCACCTGCATACACTGCAAAGGTAAATAAATGAACCCCCTCATCAACTGCTAGTGAATGGATTTTCACAGTAAAGACTACCTTTGTTTAAGAGAGAGAAATGTAGCTATTGCCTCTGCTGGCCCTGTTTGGAATGGGGAGGAAAGGGACCCATTTACTGTAGCTGCTGTTACACTTCCCTGCCATTGCCACACCTGTCCCTATTGCTCCTGCCTCTGCTATGACTACAGAAATATCAGTCCCTTGCTGTGCTCTAGTACTTCTGCTTCTTTAAAAACAAAGGGCACATATGGGTTTTGATCACAGCGGGGATCTCCCCTGCCCTGTGTCTTTGTGTGAGTTGCTGCTTCCTAGGCACTACCATCATCCAACCTATTTTCCTGTGACCCCATGGCTGGCTCTCCACAGGAGTTGGGCTCTATGTGGGATTAAGAAGCAAGTCTGTGGGTGAGGGAGAGGAAGAGAACAGGCAGGAAGTCTGCTCTTCCCCTCACCCTCAATCTTCACCTGGGCTTCTTCTGCATGGAGTCACAGTGCTCTACTGGGAGACAGAGAGGGGGGTTGAAGGACGAGCTCGGTGTAGCCTGAAAGCTTCTCTCTCTCACCAACAGACATTGGTCTAATATAAAATATTACCCCGTCCCTGTAGCACTGGACAGAGGCAGCCCTGATCGGCTTCATTAGAACTGTGCTGAGGGGTCCTCAAACTAATGCAGAGGCACAAGGCTTCTGTGTGGCGAGTCCTTGCCTCCTGGCATTCATGGGGCTTGATGATGGAATGTTGGCCTATTTTCTGGGGAAGGGACAACACCTCCCATCCTGAAATTATTAAAGGGAAATTCATGGAGTTTTCTATTTATCATAAGTGCTTATATGGACCCCATCACTGTAGTATCTGAGCACTTCAAACTGTTTAAGGTATTTATCCTCATCCCACCTATGTGAGGTAGGGAATAGCTATTCTCTCCATTACCCATGGGGAACTGATGCACATAGAGACTAAGTGACTTGCCAAAAATCACACAGGAAGTCTGTAGCAGAGTCCTGGGCTTGGGCCCTAACCACTCAATCATTATTCTCCTCTAGTCCCCTTAATCCCCCTCCCATATATTTTTCTCAAGCAGGATTGACCTAGGTCTTCATGAGAAAAGAGTGGTTAGTGTGGGGGGAAAGTAACGTTTCTCTCTGCCTCTTGTTTTTCCTCTTTATTATTTTCCATCATCCTTCTTTGATTTCCCACCGGAAAGAATAAAACTGCTAACATCCTCTCATCTCCTCCTTCCAAATCCCCACAAGGGAAAGAAAATGAACAGACAAACTACAGCTGGTGATGGTCACATACCATAATATGCAATAGCAACTCTAAGCAAACAATAAAAACCTTACAAGACCAAGTGCCCGCACTGTGAGTCACAACATTCTCTCAGTTCCCTGCAGCTTTGATCCCATGTGGTGTGTGGAACTGGGAAGCACAACATACTATATCTCATTAATAGACTGTTGATGCAATAAGTACCCTTTTGTAGGCTTAATAAGAAACTACAAAATGAAGGAAAAACATGAATAATAGCAAATTTCATAATAGCATCCCGCAGAGCTTGTCTTCCACGATGCTTGCATTAGTTCTCCTTGTGACTGAACACTGCTGCTGATTATTTTATTATTAATATTATGGTAACACTTAGAGGTTCCAACCAAAATCAGTGCCTCATAGTGCTAGGCAATGTACATGGAGGGTCTGGCTACACTGCACTGTAAGCCCAGGGTTTGAACTCAGGCTCAAGCCTAACCCCCCTGTCTATCTACATACAAATTGTACAAACTTAAAGCTTGGACTCCAGTGTCCTAGAATTCCAGGGGGTGGAGAATATGAGCTTGAGTCAAGCTGGGACCCAGTATTCAAGTCCTATTGCTTTTCAGTGAAGACACAGCCTGACTGGACTTGTGCTCTGGGAGTCTGTCAAAAGTATTCCACAATCCAATGGGCTGACTTTCTTTGTCCTATGGACAGTCAAGTTTTTCCACATTGCACCACAAACAAGGGGCCAGAGCAGCCACATTTGGGGAGGGCTCCAGGCAGTCTGGGATGTGGGGGGTTAGGATCAGGCCTACATAACACAATGTAGGTGCTGGAGCCCCAGGTTAGGACCCCGGATTCAAGAATTCCTAACCTGGGGTTACAGATGAGTGGAGACGCTCAAGCCCTAAGTTAACAAACCCACGATCTGCTAACTTGAGTTCTACTAACCCTGGGCTTACATTGCAGTGTAGACATATCTATAAATAGTAAGAATAAGTCCCTGCCTTGGAGAGCTTACAGTCTCAGTAGACATGACTGACAAAGCAAGTAGTTTGTAACTTTCCCAAGGTCACACAGGAAGTCTGTGACAAAGCCAGGATCTGAACTCAGATTGCCAGAGTCCCACACCACTGACTTAACCACAAGGTCATCCTTCCAACTTGGTATGACTCAGACTGGGGAACATTGTGGACTATTTGGCTAGAGCCTCTGAATGAGAGTAGCCTGATACATAGCCAAGTTTTCACATATACTAGCACCAATTCAGCAATTTGTTCTAGCATGCTAATTGCCCTGTATGCTGGGGTGAAGTATAAGCTAAAAAATATCTGGGACTAAGCCACCAATTCCCAGAATTAGGACTGGGCCTACAGACAAGGTAACGGGGAGAGGGTTGAATAGACAAAGGTCTATAATGCAGGGGAGATGTACAGGTATCATTCATGCCTGTATGCGTGGTACATGTCACACTACTTGATACTTGCAGATTGATGTCTGGCAGGCTTTGTACCAAGATTTTATTGTATATCAGTATTGATTTTTATGACCTGCATGCTCTGCTAGAAGTCATCAGCTGATAGGTACTCTTGGCCAAAGAGGAAAAAGTAAACCAACATGAAAAGAGGATGCCTGCCACCCTCAAAACTACATCCACGGGTGTGGGACTGCTACACCGGAGGCAGCTCCAGGATAAGGCATGACCACTCTGTACCTCGGAGGAACACCCTGCACCCCCATGTTCATCCTTATAATATGATTGCGTGATATCCAATGCAAAGTTTGTCATGTCGGGTGTCTTCAGAATGCTCATGATGCACTGAGCATTGTTGTTATAGTAATGTCATAGGTTGTAATTTCATGTATATAGTTATGAGGCTGAAAATGTGTCCTAATGGCTTAAAATAAACCCAGGCAAAACTCTCCAGGAGAGACATTTCCTGAATCTTTTTTGTTGTCTGTGTTCTTACAGACATACTTGCTGAAAGGTATTTTGAAATAAATTACCAAAATAATTGAAACTGGTGTGATTATATTGTGTTATTTTGACAAATAAAATATGCAGAATTTTAGAATATTGTGCACAGAATTTTTATTTTTTTGGTGCAGCAGTCCCCCCGAAATAATTTGCCAGCTGGATCTGTAAGGTACAGTACATGGACAGATGTCATTCGGCTGAGTC